TTTTTTGTATGTTGATTTTTATATATTGATACTTTACTAGCTCTAAAAGTCTTCTGGAGCTTTTATGCATCTTCTAAATATAGGACCATATCTTCTGCAGTGATAATTTGAGTTCTTCCTTTCCTGTTTGTATCCCTTTTATTTTCTTCCATTGATAAATTGCTCAGGCTAAGATTTCAAGTATTATATTAAATAGGAGTTGTGAGAGCAGACATACTCATATTTTCCTATTCTAAGAAAGGAAAACAAAAATGAAAGAGAATCCATAATTTTTTTAGGTAATTTTAAGAATAACTTTTACTTATGCTATTTTACCTTTCAACAACATGCTAATAAATGTTTACTATCTATGGGTCAAATTTGTCTTTTTTCAGTCTCTTGGGAAGCTGATTTCTACACTGAAGCTCCTGGAACTCTTCTTACTGTGATATAACCTGGTTCAAATCATACTGCCTATAGTAACAGGTGCTTAGCCAAACCTAAAAAGTACTGGAATCCTCAGATTTGAACTACAGCAGGCATTCTATTTAGGAAGATTCAGCCTCTTAACAAGTTGGTGGCTATCTTAAAACCCCAAAACTTGACTCTGCATGAAAAAAGTGAGGTCCTAAGAACAGATATGTCTTGGCATCAGGAAACCTTTACTGCTATGGAAACATATGACTCTGAGGAGTCTCGTCAAAAATTCAGACATTTCCAGTATTCAGAAGTGTCTGGACCCCATGAAGCCCTGAGCAAACTCTGGGACCTCTGTCGTCAGTGGCTGAGACCAGAGATTCATTCAAAGGAGCAAATCCTAGAACTTTTGGTGCTGGAACAATTCCGGACAATCCTCCCTGAAGAAGTCAGGGCTTGGATAAATTTACAGCATCCCAAGAACAGCAAAGATGTGGTGACTCTCATAGAAGATGTGATTGAAATACTCAAAGACAAAGGTGAGAATTTAGAAAATTTTAGGTCGAGTATTTGGCCTTCCTGTCTTAAGAAACTATCTTTTCTGTATCACTCTATTAGGATTTTCTGTTACTCCACTAGCAAGCCTGAACTTTAATCTGTAAGCAATATAAATAGAGCATTAGAACACAGATTGGATAGGGGAGTAACACTGTTTTGTTTGCCTTTAAAAAAATGTAGCCAGTTGCAGTGGTACATACCTGTAATCCCAGTGGCTTGAGAGACTGAGGCAGGAGGATCACAAGTTCAAAGCTGGCCTTGAGCAACTTAGTAAGGCCCTACACAATTTAGCAAGACCCTGTCTCAAAAAAAAGAGGGGGGCGCTGGGGATGAGGCTCAGTGGTTCAATCCCTGGTACCAAAATAAAAGAATGTGGAGCAGGGATTGGCAAAAATATGGCCCACGAGCCAAATATTTTTAGAAATGAAATTTTATCGGAACATAACCATGTCCATTTTCCTACATTTTGTCTATGTTGCTTTCATGCTATGGCCTGAGTTGAGTAATTATAGTAGAGAGTATTGCCTGCAAAACATAAAATATTTCTATCTATTCCTTTAGAATAGGAAATGTATACCAACTTCTCATGAAATGGATAGACCTATAGAACCTGAGAGTTCTGAAAAAAAGGAAAACAAATTGTTGTACTAGATTAGGTATTAGAGAATGCAGATACATTAGCAAAACAGAAGAGTTTAAGCCTAAAGAATTACGTCTAGGTAAAATATAAGAGTAGGATAAGGTTTGATACATACTAATGTGCTCTGGCTAGTATGAATGAAATAAGTAGTGAATTTTTTGCGTGTGGAGAAGTTAATGCATTAATGATATGGAGTGTTGAATTTTGTGTGTGGAGAGGATGATACATTTAATTATTGTGATGTGCTAAATTTGAGGTTCCTGTGGGCGATCCACAATTTAAAAGCAGTATATAGTTAATGCTACAACAAAAAGTATTCAGAAAGATTTGGAAATAGAGCTAAGCTAGAAGTAGGAGAAATACAAATCCTCAGGAAGCATCAATATTTAAGAGCTAGTCCAGATGTAAGTACCAATTACAGTAAGTACAGAGGATAGAGGCCATGTTAAACCTACCATGTTAAGGTCATTAGTAAAATTCAAACTGTGAGAAACTATAAGACAATCCACTTTTCTAAGAGGGCAGAAGTATTTAGAGATTAAAAGAAACTTAAAAAGATGTGTGCCCAGTATTGTGAATATCTGGACCTTATAAGACATGAGCAACTGACTGGATATTTGAAAAGGAATTATTTCCAAGGTCATCATGGTATTATGGTCCTATTCAGTCATTATCTAGAAAAAAAGATATAAATTAAACTGAGAAAAATAACACACACCAGGTAAACAGGCTAGAAAAGAATAATGAAACAAAGAACCAAGAAAGATTAGTTTTTTGAGCTAAAAAAAAGTCTTCAAGAAAGAAATGTTCTTTCTGTTGAAATGTTCAACAGTGGTGCTACAAAAAAATTCCTATTAAAATAAGTATTGAAGAAAATTTAGTGAAATCGTTAATTATGGAGGAATTTTAAGTTTTAGTTTGAACAGTTTCAGAGGAGTTGGGGTCATAATTTATAGTGGATTGTATTACATTATTATTGCTACTATTGCCAACTCTATTTTTTCAACAATATGTTAAAATAAAATCCATTATCATTACCTAAGACATTTTAACATCAAAATACAGCCCTTGAAATTGAATAATTTTAAAGTTATAACAAACTTACCACATTGTTTCTATTTTTTTCTCATTTCACCCTAAATCAATGAAAACTTCATCTCAGACCAATAAAACTCTGTAGTCTGACAGTTGAGGATTGCCATATAACTCATGGATCCTGGAGAAACTTTAGTAGCCCATGATTCTACTTCTTATCAAAGGGCTAGAGAAGAGAATTACTTTCATTAAATTGTTTCCTTTAAAGAATCAGTATTTCAAAGTGACCAAACTGCCTCATCTATGCAGCTTAATAGAAAACAACTCTTAAATAGAATTTTCCTCAGTATGGCGGAGGAGTGATTGATTAAATAAAATATTTTTAGATCCAAGTGGAATTAACAGCCTGTGGTAGCTAGGCCTTAGTTAAGTTTTAGTAATGATAGGATCAAAGCTATTTTATTTTAAATCTGGTATAAACAGATAAGGTCTGAAAATACTATCTTGCCCCTCTTTGCTCTGATCCAGTAGATCATAACCCTTGATGATATATCAGAATCACTTTGGGAATTTTTCAGAAGTTACAATCAATACTCTTATCCTCCACTCTTGGGGATTCTAATTGCTAGTAGGGCCCAATTATATTTGCAGAGATCTTCAGATGATTCCTATGATTAACATGTTAAAACTACTACTATAATCATAAAACATTACTTCCAGGCAAAACTTCTCTTCCTCCCTAATATTTTCCTTCATCTTCCTCAGATACACCCTTAGAGAACTGTGTCCTTCAAAATGGGAGCACAAGGGAGAACATGGAAGCTGACTCACTAACAGGGAAGCCTCAGGTGAAGTAGGGTTCCACTCTTTGCTAGAAATATATGCTCTTTTTAAATGTGACCTGCTTTTACTTTTTATCTTTAAACTTTTTTCAAACATAGTTCTATCCAAGGGCGTTAGTTTCTTATTCTTTCACAGGACATTGGACTGATTTTAGTTGGTGATACACTCTGGAAATATTTTCTTTAGCCTCATATATTCTTTGTGCATCTGTTCCCTCAAGAAGATAGATGATAATTAAAGCAAAAGAGCCTAAAATAGAAAGTTTAGAATTAAAAATGAAGGGGGTCCAAGAGTAGAATCCTGAGCAATGTCATTTATTATACAGGAGTAAAAGAAACCTCAAAGGATACTGAAAGCAAAGATACAGAAGAAAATTAGGAAATTATGGTATCACTGAGGGTCAAAGTACTAGAATATTTAAAGGAAAAAATGCTTTAAAAAGTCAGTAATACAACCTAGGGGCTGGGATTGTGGTTCAGTGGTAAAGTGGTTGCCTAGCATGTGTAATGCACTGGGTTTGATTCTCAGCGCCACATATAAATAAATAAATAAAAATTAAAAAAAAATACAACCTAAGCAGCGTCTGTTTACTTATCATGGAGAGACTAATGTGCACAGGGACAGAAGCCAGGTTGTGTTGGGTTATGGAAAGAAGAGAAGGTGAAGAATTAGGCAGAATTAATGTAGACAGACTGACTCTGAAGGAGAAAGGAAGAGATTTATATATTTCCATGTGACTAAAGTTGCCAATAATGACAAGGTTGAGGGTGCTAGAGAGACAAGAGTAAATTTATTCACTAACACATATTTGAGAATATGATTGGGAAATAAAACAAAATCTCTACTTTGTGGAGATTACATTCTAGTACAGGTAGCAGGTAAACACAAACTAATATAGTATTTCAAATAGTAATAATTTTTACAAAGAATAAAAACAGAATGGGGCCAGGGTTATGGCTCAGTGGTAGAGCGCTTACCTAGCATATGTGAGGCACTGGGTTCGATCCCTGGCACCACATAAAAATAAACAAATAAAATGGAGTGTAAAAAAAAAAAAAAAAAACCCAGGATGGAGTAGGGACAAATCCATTATCAGACAATCTTGTCAGGGTGACATTGAGCTGTGACACCTGAATGATAAGGAATTAGACTACATTTCTCAATTAGAGAAAACATCCCATCTCTTTCAGCAGAGCCTACATTTTTGTTACAATTTCCCCTTGAATCTGCCTGAAACTCTTCCCATCCTAAACTTTTATATAAATTCTTGGTGCTCTGTATTTGATGGACCCTTGCTACAACTTCATATTCATCACTTAGAACCCTAAACGTCCTATTTCTTATATAGTCTGACATCTTCCCTGTTCTCTCCAAATTCATTCCTTTTGTGGTAATATTTTTTGGGGTAACCTTTGGTTAAAAAGGAACTTAAATGTTTTAGGAACCATTGACATTCAAAGATGTGGTTGTGGAATTCACCAAGGAAGAGTGGGGGCAACTGGACCCTGCTGTAAAGAACCTTTACAGGGATGTGATGCTGGAGAACTATAGGAACCTACATTCATTGCATAAAGGTGGTTTTTATGTATTTATTTACTCTATTAGTAATCTCTTTTTCTACTGTGAAAAGCTATCGAACTGGTAGAGTCCTTATGTTCCTTTGGGTCTGGGTTCAGATTTCCTAATATCCTTTGGGCTCAGTAGCACATTTTCCTACTCTGTGTGGTTGAAAGTCCTTTTCTATATACAGCCAGAAATATACAGACATGGTGCTCTTCTGGCCTTCTCCTTCAGCAGCTTAACCTACTGTCTTTTCTTCCCTATAAAAATGTGTTAAGTGTCTATATGTTTTTTGTTGTCGTCATTTTTATTTTTCCTATACACAGCTCATCCACTTTCCAAACCAGTTGAGATCCCCAAATTGGAGAGTAAGAAAGAAAGATGGATAATGGAGGGAGAAGTCCCAAGAAGGACCATTTGGGGTAAGAACCAGGCAGATATGATATATTTGTAAGAAGCTAGGGTTTATTAAACCCAGAGATAGTGACCTGCCTTTGAATTATTAGCTGGGTGTAATCAAAATTTTTACCTAAAAAAGCATCGTTACCTTTTATTCATAGGTTCTCTTTCCTGTGTGGCAAAATATTGTCATGGGTAGGACCACAACTTCAAGCTGGGTGGCTTGGGGCAACCTTTGTGCTGGTTTTCTCACCTGTAACTTAAAAGTTATTAATAGTAGCTCCCTCCAGATTACTGTGAGGATTAAATGAGTTGATACATGGAACACACTTAGAACATTGCCTAGTACATGGTAAGTGCTAAGTAACAACCATTAATCAGCTAACATTGAATGTTATCCTTCCTTTTGAAGAAAATAAAACTTCACTTTATGCTAGAGTGACTTTTAGTAATCATCCACTTTTCCTTCTTTGTAAAACTTCTTAATTTGTCCTTTAACTCCCACAACATCATAATCTTTTCTTATTAACACTTTGTAATAGTGTAAAACTATTGTAAGATTATATTAAAAAGGAATATAGTTCAGACCCCAGAGTTACACAATATTAACATGTTGGTTTGAATTTTTTAAAGCCATTTCTTTGTGATGCAGATCTGTGGTTTCTGAAAATTTCTTTTATTCCTAAAATATGGAACAATTTTCAAATTTTTTCCAGAATTCAGGAGGAATATATCATTTTATATCCTGTTCTTTTCACCTTTTGTATCATGACCAGTTACCTATTTTACCAAATAAACTATGAAAATGTGCTTTCTGATTCACACTTAACGTTCCTTTACAAGTTATATTTTTAATCATCCCCTACCACCACTGTTGGATATTTAGGTTGTACCAATTTTTCAAGCATTATCCGATGATTTCATAGGATAAAGTTATTACGTCAGACTAATTTTTAAAAATAGGATTGAAAGCAGCTGGGGTTGTGGCTCAGTGGTAGAGTGCTTGCCTAGCATATGTGAGGCCCTGGGTTCAATTCTAAGTACCACATATAAGTAAAAATAATAAAAAATAAAGATCATTGGCAACTAATAAACATTTAAAAAAAATAGGAATGAAAAAGTTACCTGAAAAATGAGTTGTACAAATATGAGAACAAAGATTTATTTAGGGAAATACAAATATGAATGATATTATTAAATACTGCTACAAAACGATTACTGTTATCTGTGGTTTCTAACAAATAATCCCAAAACAATCATTTAATTCCCATTTTTTTCTTAGTTGACTGAGGAGTTTTTATGTTCCATATGATGTTGGCTGGGGATGCAATGTCTTGGGGTTCTAATGAGATAGAATGCCCAAAATAGCACATGACATGATTGGAAGTTGATACTGACTGTCCCTGGGAACATAGTTGGTCCGATGGACACAGTACTTATCATGGCTTCTCCTTGAGGTTTGGGCTTCTCTTGGCACAGTGGCCAGATTCTCTGAAAGCAAATGTCCTGAGAGGAATCAGAAGCTATAAGTCTTTTAAAGATTAGGTCAACAGGAGGCATAATATCACTTCTACAATCTTCTGTTTGCTAAGCAGACACAGGATCAAGTCTCTACTTGTGTATGAGAAAAGTGGCAAAGAATGTGTAGCTATGTTCTATCATAGTCTGTCCTGTCCACAAGTCATCCATAATCTTCCCCCTTGTAAAATATATGTACTCTTTACCAAGACCCCAAGAACCTCTTATTATCAGACTTAAAGTTCAGAATCTCATCATCTAAATTGGGTACAGGTTTGAAAGTGGTTCTTCTCTTTTCTCTGAAGATCTGTATATTAAAATGACATTTGGCCAGCCCCTATACACTCTGCATACATTGGTGAGGCAGAGACAGGAAAAATGGATTAAAATCCCATTGTATATTCCTAGGCTCCATTCAATAGATTGATTTAATACTCTAGCTTCTAGCTTGGCTGTGGTGCAGATGATAATTTCTGATATAAAATTAGATTAATTAGGCTGAGTTGATAAATATTTGTCAAATTTGGCAGTATCACTGGGGCTGATTTGGGATAAAAGTGGAATGTCTGTGGGGTCCCAGAGGGAACATGTAGGGGTTTCTGATCCCTAGAGCATTCCAAATTCAAACAGTAGCTCCTTTCTCAAGATGGCTCCTGGATACAGCAACCTAGGGTTTGGTGAGAGATTAGGTGATATTCAGTCCAAAGTGAGGCTGCTATTGCAGCTGGAATTGCCAAGCATTTACACTGGTAAAAGTTTGCTGATACTCTTTCACCTTTACCCTGCAAAAGAGAGACTTTCCCCCCCAGCTATGGCATGTGACCAGGTATTTAATTTCTCTTATTATGTTCTTGACCTAGGTCTTTGAATCTTACAAGATCCAAGCTCTCTCTTGTTGATATCCAGTGTTCTCCCATGGTCATTCACCTCAAAATACAAATACATGGTATCTTTGATTTTCTTTGTGGAAGACGACATGAATACTGGGCTCCTCTATTCAACTACCTTCTATAAGTATTCTCTTATTTACATTCTGCATTTAAGACTAACAATACATACATATACCATTATGTGAATTAGCTTCTCTTTCCTCACTAAGCAGTTTTACTTCTTTTTATCTAATTTTGTATTTCTTTTTAGACATGGAAACTGTTTCAAAAGATCAAGATTCAGTTCCTAAGCAGAGGACTTCTACAGAAGAATCATCCTATGGAGTAAATATGACAAGGTTTACCAAAAGTGAACATCCTTTCTTGGAAGACTGGAAAAGTGAGGATTGGTTACATGGAATCCAGAAAAATCAGAACGTAAGTTTGCTGCAAGAGTCTTCTAATCATAAAACTGTCTGCACAGAGGAGGGAGACTCTAAATGTAATGAAAATAAGAAAAGCCTTAATTCAGTTAGCTCTATATGGGATATACAACAGGGAATTGCTATGAGAAAGGGTCTCACAAAAGAACACAAGTTTAAAACTAATTTCAAATCCAATTCAGAATTAGTGGGTAAGAAACATTTAGAATATAATGAATGTGGAAATTCCTTGAATCTAAGTACACATATTATTCAATCCCCCAAAAGTCACACAACAGTGAATTCCTATGAATGTTATCAATGTGGAAAAGCCTTCAGCAGGACTTCATCCCTCATTCGACATCAGATCATTCACACTGGAGAGAAACCCTATAAATGCAGTGAATGTGGGAGATTGTTCAACCGAAATACAAACCTTATAAAACATAAAAAAATTCATACTAAGGCTAAGATTTATGAAGACAATAAAAGTGGAAAAGCCTTGTGTAAGAGTGAAGACAATAATAAAAACCCAAGACTCCATTCTGGAGACAGTTCCTATGAATGTGTTGACTGTGGAAAATCCTTCAACCGCAGCTCTTCCCTTATTCGACATCAGATGATTCATACAGGAGAGAAACCATTCAAATGTAAGGACTGTAAAAAAACCTTCAACAGACATTCAAACCTTATTAAACACCAAAAACTTCATGCTAGAGATCAATCCTGAAAAGGAAGAAATACTAGAAAACCTTCAGTCAGAGTGTAGAACTCATTCAGCATCCATGAATTTTTGCTAGAGGGAATCCCACGCATATAAGAAAATATTTGTCACAGATTATTCTTTAAATGATGTAACAATATTGGAGAGAAATCTGTTTGAGGGATCTTTTCCAGATTCCCAAAATGAAGCCATAAGAGTTTGAAGTTAATACAAAGACTAGTATGGTAATATGTTTTTGATTATTTTGATGTAACCTTCATCTTTCTTTAGTCCATAAAATGTTATCTGTAGCATACTTGTGCTTATCTGATTTATTAATGAAGTATCTATTAGGGAGAAGCCAAGCAATATTGTTGATGATATTCAATATTAAACTGTTGGTCCTTATAAGAAAGTCACACACACATAAAAAGGAGCTTTTGATGATATATGAAGATAGTTCTAAGGATTAATGGGAAAGAGTACAGTGAAAGACTGTTACTTCACCCTTGACAATATCCTTGGCAACTAGAATTGGGAGAAACTTATCAATTGCAATGGGAAATGGGTGTGGGTTTGTTCAGTTATATATAGTCTTAATATTTCATTTTTTTAAAAAAGCACTTTCTGAGATCTAGGATGGAGAAACATTGTAGCCTTAGGTCTGACATTAGTTCCAGACATTCTGGGGTCAATAAAATGTCTTACTATTTTGTGTGCTAGAAATGTATTTACTATAGGGTAGCTCAGGGTCCCAAATTGTTTCTTAAGCCAAGAAGCATGTCTTAATCTACCCAAATGATTACTACTGGAGACATTCCCAATAAATAATGATGCTGGCTTTTTGTCGAAAGTTCTAAACTAATACGAAAGTCAAATCTTCCTCTTATTACCCTCTTATAAGTATTCCCTTACAAAACTATTTGTAATTACATGCAGAGCCCACCCAGTTAATTCAGATAATTTCCTGATCTTAAAATCCTTAATCACATATGTACAAAGATTTTTTATATATATATTTTTAAGTTTTCCAGGATTTTTTTTTTTAAATCGTTCACAGGGTCTAGGGATTAGGGGTCTGGGTATCTTTGGGGAAGAGGAACATTATTCAGCTCCCCACTGCTATGACAAATTACCACAAATTTAGCAACTTAACACAAATGTATCATAGATCTTCAGGATATAAGTCTGGGTCTTAATTGGACTAAGATGTCAATAGGCTGTGTTCTTTCTTGGAGATTCTAAAAGAGAAACTCTTTTGCCTGTTCCAAACTTCTAAAGGTACTCAGATTATTTGGTCTGTGGCTCTTCCTCCATTTACACAGCCAGTAGTGTTGCCCTCTTCTTCCATAGTAACATCTTTCCCTGACTAGCTCTCCTCTCCTCTCCCACTTTTAAGGACCTTCTGAATAAACTAAGGCCCCCAGAAAACCCAAGACAATCTCTTTAAAATCCTCTAATAAATAATTGTAATATCATCTACAACTTTAATTTCCTTTAGCCATGGAATCTAACAGATTCTCAGGTTCTGGGATTAGGACATGGAAATCTCTAGTGTGCTATTATGCTCCTTACCAGAGTACACCTCTGTTATTTGTGCTGACAAACTATCCCAGAATTAAGCCTGAACCCATATTTTTCATATTGTTTAAGGGGTAGTAGAATCAAGCTTCAGCAGCAGCACAATGCAATTGCTTATCTCCTCTATTATCTGAGTAGAAAAAAATTAGATCCTAAACTCAAAAGACCAAAATCAGTGAAGTACTTTAAAACCTAATTATTGTTTTCCTTCTTAAAATTAACGTCTCAAATAGTCTAACTGAAAGATTATGAGCTATTAATAAAACTTACCAGTAAGACCAGTCCCTGTATTTTTTCAGCATTGCATCTATGAACAACATCCTCTGAGCAGAGTCCACTGCCACATCTTTGAATGTCATTGTCCCCTAAAATATCAAACATTTCTGCTAACTGTTGATTCCTCTAAAAATATCAAGAGTTTTGCAAACTGGAACAAGTTGAGAGGGGGAACAAGATATTGCTCTTACTTTTGATGAGATATTATTTGGAAATCTAATTTTGTGTTATACCATGCAAGACAGTCAAAAGCTGGTGATAGAGTTTACCACTCTAAAAAATGAGGCTAGAGTAGAATAATTTATGACATAATTAGAAAAAAATGTATAATATAGCAGAGGGTCAAAATGGTTTAAAGTCTTCAAACTACACACCTTCCCCAACCATAACAAGTATACAAGGATGTTTTGTATATTTCTTTTTCATTGGTTTATATGATAAAATATAATACTTGTATACAATAAAATAGGGAAAGTCATAATAAGTCCCTGAAAGATTTCACAAAGTACAGAATTACTATTGGAGGGATAAGAAGGTTTCACAGTGATGGACCATAAAAGGTGGATATTGTTTATTTAGATGATGGGAATAGCTATACAAATAATGGGTAAAGAACAAAGTAGATAAATCTTTTAATTGTAAAGAAAAAAAAAAACTTTGAGGAAAAAAGCATTCATCCATCTCCCCACCAATTAGACTCCCCAAGTAAACATTGTTATTGATGTTTCTTTCCAGGAAATCTCAACACATGTAAAATATATACGGAGAGAAAATAGAGCAGTGATTGTCTAGACATGAGGGGTGGAAGTATAACTGTAAGTGGATACAAGGGAAGAACTAGTAGTGACAGATTATTTGAAAACTGGATTGGGACAGTGCACAACTCTATAAGCTTACTAAAATCAACTATATACTGATGATGGACTATATATAAATTGTATGTCATTGAGGCTGTTAAGAAATAGACATTCAGGGCTGGAGATGTGGCTCAAGCAGTAGCACACTCGCCTGGCATGCGTACGGCCTGGGTTCAATCCTCAGCACCACATACCAACAAAGATGATGTGTCCACCTAAAAAACTAAAAAATAAATAAAATTTAAAAAGAAATAGACATTCATATATCTGTGTATTAAACTACATGAGATCATATGTTCATACCGTTGTACAATATTTAGAGCCGTATCATAACTTTTTGATATACAGAGGAACTATAATTTTAAGCCATTTCCTGTTGACATGTGCTTTTGTTTCCCAGTTTAGGTTCATACAAAGCATGATGTGTGAATTGTCTCCATGTTTTGGTTCACTTTCAGGTTTCTATATTTTTTTGCACATTAAGAAAGTATAAATAGGAGTAACAGTTTATTTTTTATCTTCTGGCTGATGTATAATAAAATAGAAAATATTATCTTGGCACAGGGAGTAATAATATTAGAGCTGCTCATAGGATTGTAATAAAGTTTGCAGGAAGCACACCTCAGAGATTCACACCAGAAACTTGAAAACACAATGTTGGGTGTGTGGGAGACTCTTCCCAATAAAAAAGTAGACATGAGTTCTGGAGCAAGAACATTCTTTTTGTAGAAGGTAATTGTTCACCCTTTGAAAAGCAGCTTCTGACATAATATTGGGTCCTAGTAGAGACTGAACTCCTGTCTGCAACTTCAAATTACTATGCAGTCACACCCACCTTTGAGCTTGGTAGTGTTAGATCCACTGTCTCAGGGTTCTCCAGAGAAATGGAACAAATAGAATATATGTAATTATAATAGTGAATTTCTTAAATTGACTTACAGAGATTGAATTGTCTCAGTGCCTGTCTGCAGGCTAGAGAATTAGGAAAAATAGTAACTGCTCAGTCCAAAAAGCAAGAAAGCCTCAGAACAAGAGGGAGCAATGATGCAGCCCCACTTTGGGAGTGAAGGCTTGAAAGTACCAGGGCAAGCCTGCATTCAAAATTATAGAATCTTGAAGCTAGATTTACAGATAGGTAGGTAGTGTAGTTAGGTAAATCAGGTCTAATATTGAGTAAGATAAAGAAAATGGAGACCATTATTGAGAATGGAGTCCAGGAAAGCAGAGCAGCACTTGGGGAAATTGAAATGTTAATGTCCCCAAGACCCAGGACCCATCCTAAGGAACTGTTAATGAAATAGCTCCCAGCAAGCAGGGAGGTATTAATCAAACCACCCCAGGCCCTTCCTAACCAGATTACTCTTTCAGCCCACCCATCTCCCACCTTTTGGGCCTTCCCACCTGCATTCTATCACTGCAAGATAAAGGGAAACAAAGGACATGAATGTGGGAAAACTAAAAGAAGACTTTAGCTATTTAAAAAGGGAAGACCTCCCCCTTCCACAGATTCCGCCTTTTGGGTCCCCTTCTTCCTCTGGGAAGAAGACTTTTCTGCTATTCTTTAATAAAGCCTTCCACTCTCCACTCTACACTTGACTCGGTGTGCTTCTCTGGTGTTATACTTCAGCATTCGGGGAAACAAGGACTCGTCACCATTAAACAGTGATAAGAATCTGACATCCGTAGGCAACAGCAGCAACCAAAATAAAGCACCTGCTCAAGAAGTGTCAAGTGTTCATATGAGCTTCTGCTTTTTGGTTCCATCTGGGCCCTTGGCCTTTTGGACAGTA